CTACTCGGTTGCAATCGCAGAGGTGGACCAACCGAGGGCGTTTCTCGTTCGCTGTAGCATAGGGGGTACACGCGGTAATACGCCTATCGGACCCGCACGCGAACCGACATCTTGGGGGGCTGGAGTCCCAAGCGCGGCCCGACGTCGGTCGACTAGGACGCATCCCACACACCACGCGCACACCACCTTACGAACACAATAATAAAACACACGCACACACACATACGAAACGACACAACGCAAACAACGCGACAACGCTCCTAGCCCCTCCATAGCCAACCCATAACTTCCCGATGCATAAATCAGATAGACGTCGCACGAGACACATGTCCACTCGCAATGCAAACGCACGCACGCGGTCGCAGTGATGGCGTACTATGTAGTACCCATACTCATGCGGTCCTCGTTACTCTCGAGGGTCGCATTCGACACTCAAGTGTCGGCTGACACGCGCCTTGAGGGTTAATCTCTCGACGCTAGACAACCGCTGTGCGCGGTTGAAGACCACACCCTCTTTTGCACCCTGTGCAGAGGGGTTGAGTAGACAACTTTAAGCTGTCGTGGCGGTCGAACATCAAGGGGTTTGACTTTGACGGCCGCCACGGACTATAACGTCCAACCATGAAAACACAAAAAAAAGAGACTCACTCCGACCCCCATTAGCTAATAATCCTCTAAAATGGAAAGGGGGTGGATAAGCCCAAACAACGCGCGCGCGGAGGAGGTCTGGTATCCTATCCATAGGCTACCCGGCGTCCGGGATAATGAGGTCCGTGCACGGACCCCCAAAGGCTGACCGGAGCTAGTCCTCCGCCCATGTGCCGCTTCATGCTACCAAGACCCCAAGTTTAGTGGTCGTGTCGCGCTCATGATCTCGCCGCCTGACCCATAACTCTTTTAGTGCGGGATGCGACGAGTGTCGCGCGCGAACTTAGTATAAGATCGCGAGGGCGCTGGACCTACACACACTATCTCACTATGCAGTTCTACGCGAGTAGCCACGATGACAGCGCATTGTGTAGTGCCCACACCCAAATGGCCTATTCTGAGCCAAGGGGTCACCTTTCGACGCTCAGGCGTTGGCTGAAGCGCGATCCAATGAGGGTAATTCCTTTAGCGCGCGTAAAACCGGCCTGAGGGTTTTTCCGTCTCCAGCACCCTGAGGTGTCCCAACGGGTGCGGGGCAAGACGACCCCTAGGGCAGGAGGGAGTTTGAAGCGGTGGTGAGTTGTCTGGCGCATCACCAGCAACACGCTGACCCTTCCGCCCGAAACTTTATCGTTCCACCAAGATAAATCGCAACGAGGAAAAGAAACAACAATTTGAGAGGGATATCCCCTCCCTTCTATTCACCCCACCCTTCAACTGACCCTTAGTACGCGGGCACTTCAGGCCACGCTAGCTCCACACGTAGGTACACATGCGCAGGCACATATATATATACATGCACAAGGGGAATAATTATCTGACGATCCCTTCTCACAGTCATAGTGGGCCTCCTCCTAGCCATACATATATATGTGATCGCAAGGCAGCCCAACCAAAACCCCAAGTCTTTCAACATACCTGCAATCACATCAAAAGTCATACAAGAGTCCACACACTACGCGAAGTCAACTCCAACCAGTTCCTATACTCATATCCCTCACTTTAGCCATGCAAACCCCAACTTCCAGCCAACCAACCTCAATTAAAATTCTCAGTACCTTTGTTAAATGGCCATTCAATAAAAGTCCGGGTGAAACCCTTAGCAAACAAAAAAAGATCATCAGGGCTAAAGCCTTTTAGGTTGAGTATGGGGAGCGAGTAGGAATTGAGTCGTGAGCCGACGAATCGGCAACCGACCTGTTATCAGTGATAACAGATGATGATCCTTGCAGGATCAAACTCAACTAGCCCAAGTCCTGAATCGAATGTCCAAGAAAGACCTGTACCGTAAGACAGGTCAATGCCCAACCTAAATCATCAGCATACGGGGGATGACCCTCCATAGCACATTCTCACCCAAGTTACCTACCAACTAAATCAAAATCTACCCCTAAGCCAGTGCCCAAACAAAGGTGGACTAACGGCAGGATCTCCCCTATTCAGGGTGGATCGCCACAATCACCATCTGTCAGAATATAATCTGATTCCTCTAAATCAAAAAAAAATCGGCAGCGCTTCCCGTAGGAAAAGTGGCTTTTCATAATTTATATCAGCCCGAATACGAGAACAGAAATAGTCTTTGACTTTTCAAAGTCCAATTTTGTCTAACTCCCTGAATTAGCAAAAATTTGGGCAGTACTCTCTTTTGAAAAAAAGACTTTCCAGATTTTTACTAAGCCATACATGAGTTTTAGACAGGTTGAACTTTAAGAAGTCAAGAATTGACTAACTCCCCGGATTTGTAGAAATTTCGGCAGCGCTTCCCGTAGAGAAAGTGGCTTACCAAATTTTATACAAAGCCAAGTATAACAAAAGATCCCAGAAAATGCGAGAATCGATCTAAGTAAGAAAAACTTAGCAGGAATTGACCTAACTCCTATCGCTCTAGCACGAGGCGAGCCTCTAAAGCAACTACCTATCAACCTGACACTCAAACCAAGTAGTAGCCTCACTCAGCCTCATGCAGGCCAAACCACAAAGGTAAGTACTCTCGCCACCCCAAGTCAATCTTTGCAAACAATAGTTCGTAACTCCTCAATGCTTTATCTCCTTATACCCAGCTTACATAGGGCATAAAGTCAAGCCGTCCAATCTTATGGAACTTGCCTGACTCAGTCATTGAGTATACACGAACAGGTTGCACAACTACTCCCCTCTTCTTTTTGGGCATACGACTTGGCCGTTCATCTTAGAACAAGGCTTTGTCGCCCAAAACTGTTTAATATCCAACTTATATATACCTCTCTGAGCTTGATGTTCAAAAGCTGGGCATAGGACCGAGCCGTTCATCTTAGAACAAGGTATGGCCTGCCCAGGGTTACCTTCAATTGTACTCTTAGTTATACTCTCTTCATTTTATGATAAGCTAAAGTCAGGCCGTCCAATCTTATGGAACCCATGCATGGCTAGCCTATTCATAGATAGGATAGTATAAAATATAATCAAAATTTAACCTTTTGGGTTCCAGCATGTGCGAGGCATTGGGCCAGACCGTCCAATCTTATKGAACATATCTGGTCCTTTGCCAGGTTCGTTTCTCTCTGATCCACTGTGTATGGCATGAGTCCAAGGCCGTGCAATCTTATGGACACGCCCTGCCCTCAGCACGAATTACCCCCTCAGAATGAAACAGGAAGGGGCTGAGCCRTCCAATCTTATRGACTTGCTCAGACCTCCTYGATCAAGAACAAAAGAAATAGAACAAACCCCAATCAAACATGGCAACCAAACCCTCCAATCTTATGGTACAGGTTTAACCCCTGAAAAGTCAACCACAGTCAAACCCCCACAATTCAGAGCAGTCAGACCGTCCAATCTTATGGAACTGGTTTGACTCTCCAAGCGATTCAAAAATAAACACAGCGGTCACGCCGTCCAATCTTGTGGAGCTGGTCTGACCCTCTATGCCATTCAGAAATAAACAGAGCGGTCAGGCCGTCCAATCTTATGGAACCGGTCTGACCCCAGAGGACCCATTCAGGCTCAGGCAAGATCACCTTTCGCCCACCCTTCCCCCAGATGCAACCCATTGTGTTTACAATCTACATTCAGGCAATCAACAAAACTGAAGTTGAAATTGCACACACATTCCTTTGTTTAATCTGAGTTGTGTCCTGCCAGTGAAACCAAGGTCAAAGTAGGGGTGCATGCAGTATACTCAGTCAACACATAGAGAGAAGTACTTATATGGGCTATAACAGGATATATAAGGGGGGAGCAATGGTTACCTCTCAGTTCCCTGCCTCCAGGACTCCTCCTGAGTCCCGGCAGAGCTCCCGCAATCGATGGGGCGAACCTCCCACAGAGGCTTTGGCACGGATTACTGGTTGCAATCCCGCCTGCCGCCTTCCTCTCAAAACCAATAGACTAGACTTAGAGTGAGAAAGGGCAGAAGGAGAAAGTCTTAGACTCTCAGATCCCAGGAGGGTGCTCTCAGACTCGCAAGAGAGGGCCTCGTTATCTTCAATCACCTGAGGGCCCCACAATGGCAGCCAAGTCTGCGCAGCTTGGTCAAACCTCCGAAGTCAGATTGTCGAAATGTTGTCCCTCTAACTCCCTCCCCGATCACAGCACTATCTCCCTTCCTTCAACAAGCC